CGCAAAGACCATGCGATGATGGAACAGTCGACTGCCGCCTCGTTTCCCCATCCACCCCAGGATCAGCGAACAAACTCGGAGTTTGGATATGTCGCCCGTCGAGTCCGCAAAACGAGCGTCGACGAGCGGCAGTTCTTCGCCGGTCTCTCTGTTCCAACCCGCAAGCGACCTGCCGAGGCCTCGCCCCAGGTTCCCCCGGTGTCCAACGCTATGCTGGCGCAGCACTCGGAACTGTCAGCGGCACTGCCAGACTACTCGCTCGATCATCCACCATCTGCCTTTTCTCTTTCTGGCAATGGCACGGTGGGCCCACGCAGACCTCAGCACCATCACTCGCACTCTAACATTCCCTACGGGTTGGATACATATGGCATCAACGAGGACCACGGGATCAACTCGGCCGGGCCTTACCAGCAAAACTTCCATTTCTCCCCGTCAGAGTCTCCAATGACTGCAGGAAATCCTTTCTCGAGTCTATATGCGCAGACGCCGCTCGCCTCGTCGCTTAACTCAACCGAGTTCTTCTCTCCTCCACCTTCTGGCTATCAGTCTACTGTGTCGACCCCGCAACCTATTTATGAAGGGGAGCAGTCAATATTCTTTTCCGATGCGCCCTCCGCTGAATCCCGCCGCATTCCTAACTATATCCAGCAGCGTCAGTCGAACCTGTCTGCATCCCTGCAGCCACGTTATATGTACAACATGAACGGCGACTCTCACCCAGGGAGCGCAGTTACAGGGCCACCAACCACACATGTATCTGGCTTCTCGGTACCGCAACCGCAGCATGTCAACCCATCACAGGTACTTGGCCACGGCGAGTTCTCCACAACTGCGCCTGCCAGCAGCATGTTTACCTTTGGTGGAGACTCAGACAATGAGGATGATGATGGCAACTTTGGTGAACGCGGAGGCATAACCATGCCAAATGACTTTGCCTCTATGGATGACTCTGGTGATATGAGCGCCGGTATTCATTGGGGTGGGGGTTTCCCCGGATCAGTACAGTCGCTACCAGGCTTCAGTGCTCAGCACCGCAAGCATGTTACGATAGGATCCACGGACATGATGGATGGTGATTGGAACCAGGGAGGCACTCTCGGTCGGGCGCACGGATCTGTTGCTTCGGTCAGCGATGTTCGCAACCAGAACCAGGATCCTCGTCGCTATGGAAAGGTTCCTCGCACAGCATCGACCCCCAATGCTGCTGCACTGCTCCGTCAGAGTTTGAATGGCTCAGCTAGCGGGCCTCCGACAAACCACCCCTCACCAAGCACCCCTCCCGAGTCTGGTCTCAGCAGTGCGGTACCGTCCCGACCAGGCAGCCCTGGTGGGTCGAAAAACGGTGACCCGAACGCGGGACCGACCACCTGTACCAATTGTTTCACTCAGACCACCCCTCTCTGGAGACGCAACCCAGAGGGCCAGCCTCTGTGCAATGCATGTGGCCTGTTCCTGAAACTTCACGGTGTTGTCCGACCACTTTCGCTCAAGACTGATGTGATCAAGAAGCGAAACCGCAGCAGCGCCAACACTCTTGCTGTTGGCACTTCTCGGTCATCTAAGAAATCTTCCCGCAAAAATTCCATTCAGCATGCTCCATCCACATCGATTTCATCCCGCATCAATACTTCTGAGTCGCCCCCCTCGATGAATGGATCCAACACATTGGGTAAGCCCGGTGTTGTTCCAATTGCCGCTGCCCCACCCAAATCCGGCCCCCCGCTGGCGTCGCTCAGGCTCGTGCCGGTGTGCAAGTGGCACCCAGACGGCAACGCAGACTCGAGAAAGCACCAACTGGATCCGACCCAGATCCCGAAGACAGCCCCAAGTCAGCCGCTCCTGCGAGCCGGTCCAAAGTCGTACCATTAGCTCCGGCGATGGCACCACCCGCTGCCGCAAACCCAGCCAACCACAGTATCGCCGGTGGGCAGGGTGCGAGCCAAGAATGGGAGTGGCTGACTATGAGTCTGTAGTTGGCTTCTCCTACATGACCCTTTTCTTTTACTAAGTTTTGTTAATGTGTGATGAGCTTGCCGCCACTATAATCTCACGTATTACACGACTTATGTCCTCGGCGGTCGTGCCTTTATTACTCCCATGCTTTCCCTGATTACTATACGACATGTGCTTTTTTTGTTGATTTGATTGATACAACCGCGTCTGTCCGGGACCCGAGCTGCCCATTATGTTTTTATTTTCATGTTTGCTTTTTTGTTTCCTTTGTTGTCTAGCAGCTCGGAGCCGGGCAGAAGTGCGCATCTCTCTCCTGTTTTTTGTCTTTTTTTGTTATTCTTTACTCAATTCTTGGATTTCTTGCGCTGCTGAGCAGGCTTTGATTAATGGATTTTAGTATCCTTGCGTGATTACTTTTAGACATGGGATTCAATATGATCATGATTTTCTCCAATTCATCCCCTCTCCACGTTGGACCTATCACCTTTGAGTGTAAGCCCTAAATGCCATTTACTTTCCAACCATCAACAGGCTGAGCGAAGAATGAGATCATAACTTCACCCCCGGACATTAAGCCGGGGAATAATCCACGTCATGTCGACGAACAGTCGGGCGATACTACTTATCAAGCTTGGAAATAAATTACTTTTGTACAAACTCAACTCAGGTCGCAGTGTATTGAGCCAGCAATCAAACCAACACCAATATAGCTGGAAACATTAGAAGGCAGTACGAAACCTCTCTCAGTCAACATGAACATGGCGAAGCTGATTCTTCAACAGGACGATATGTCTAACACGGACGGTGAGTATCTATCCCATGGATTTCCCTCACATACGGAACCCAACTCACACATAGCAGAAGCCTCCGAACCATTCACCACTAAAACGAATACCACAGATAGTGTCATCGGCCGCGTCTATGAATCTGCCACTCATGCACGCGAGAAAATAGCCGAACAGCTCCAACCCGGTGCGTATTTCCGGTGGTTATAGCGCGTGGCCTTTATGAGCACGACGAATGATATCTGAACCCAGTGTTGTTTTCTTGTTTCTTGTTTCTTGTTTCTTTTGAGCATCAGCTAAATAAATCGATTGCGTTCTACAGGAGATACGAAGACGACGACTCGTCGCATGTCGGATACACCCGATAATATCTGGCAATTCGGACGAGGTGGTTCGAGAGAAGAGAGAGATTATGGGCTGGAGAAGGATAAGCCTATGCTGCAGTCTGCGCAGCAGACAGTTTCTAAGGCCCTTGGAGGAGGGTCTCGTGGTTAGTTGTGGTTTATACTGGTTATTTTGTATTGTGGTGCTAATATGATAATTAAGGTGGAGAGTAAATGCCTCTCGGAAGCTGGGAACAAAAGAATTGTTATATAGAATGTAATTTCATGGGAAATATGTATACATATATTAGAGGCTTGACTGCGGTATTCTCTCTCCTATTTCTTTAATTTTTTTCTAGTGAGTAAATGAATCTTGTACTGGAGTAGTCAAGTTGGATATACTTGGAAATATAAACATCATTTGGATGAAATTTATATCAACGCCCTGTAATAAGAGGGAGATATATAGGTAACACTTAATGAGCTGAAATAATATGGCATAATTGCAAACACTACGACGTTGCAATGAGAAGAAATATTATATCACAATATACTTCCCGTTTAGGAAATTGTATGACTCAGGCACCAACTGATAAATCACGTGTGATAATCAGAGCAAAAAAAGAATCGCCGACAGCCATTCATCTTCAACAATCAATTGACTTTGCAGCCATGGGTTCCAGTTCTAAAAGAAAGAAGGATAAGCAAAAGGATTTCCAGGTTAGAACTGCAAGCACATGTTTATTCTGTCCAACCCGCTAACCTCTGCAGAAACCCAAACTCAGGGTTGGAAAAACTAAAGCAAAGCCCGACAACTACACCGATACCAGTTTCAAATCGAAGTGTATGTGCATTTTTCTGGCCACTTGACATATTGTTATGCTCACACTTACTAGCAATTGTCCTCACACAACAATCCCTCCACCTTAATGCCCCAACTTCAAATGCCACATTCACGCATAACTTATCTCTCCTCAACGTCAAGTCTGACAGCCAACGACGCGACTCCCTCGCTTATCTGACTACTACGATATCCTCTCGACCAGTAAACTCACCTCTGCCACAACCAGTCAGCGTCATTCTACCATCTCTACTCCCACTCATCCTCGATGGAAGCAATAGCGTACGGACCCAGCTCCTCAAGCTCTTGCGGACCCTACCGCCAGGCGATATCGAGGACCATGTTGCGCAACTCCTTCCCTACGTTCGCGCAGGAATGACCCATCTTGGAGCGGACATCCGCAGTTCTGCGGTGGAGATTCTATCATGGATGGTTGAGGTAGCGGGGGAATCAACAGTTTCCTGTGCGGGAGGATGGATCAAAACACTCAACTGCTTCTTGTCTGTGTTGGGCTGGCACACCGAAGAGTCATCACAGTGGTCCTCAACCCGGGCTTCATTCGGCAAGGCCGGTAGCCAGGGCAAGCCCATGGTCAAAACGCTTGGGGCTCTAGCGATGTTTTTGGATGCTGGTATCGGGAAACCTTTTATCGGCGGTCTCGATAGTGAGATGTCTGGTGATGACGAGAGTGCCGACTGGCCGTTCCCTCTTTCCCATAGCGCCCAGCACATGATCTCAGATTCATCTACCCCATTCGCATATCTGAATCTGTTTGGAAAGCCGCGCGACGAGGAAGGAGAAATGTACGAAACCCGTGAGGACAGGTACCGGGTGTTCTCGACTCGTTTCCAACCACCAATCGATCGAGGACTCAAGGGTGCCAGAGAGGAAGGTGGCGAGCTGGGCCGTGCATCATCCAGTGTGACCAAGGTGTTAAAAGAAGCGATTGCGTATGGGCCGGGCCCATGAATTGTTCAGCCAAGGTTACGAGCAAAACCAAATCCATCCAATAAAATGGTACTGTGAGCTAGGCTGGGGCCTAGAGCTTTTTTACGAGCTTTGCCTATAAAGCTACCAGTGGACCACGCATCCGATTCAAGGCTCGGATATCGATACCACGGCGTCGGTCTTTACACAGACGGTCTCGCCCTGCGAACACTGCAACCAGCGCCGAATAGACCAATCGGTACGCCCTTCGGCTAGGGTGGTCGTGGGCTTTGTGCCCTTGCAGCAGGTAAAAACAAGATACACAATACCAAGGCTCCGAGCAGCCTTACGCTGGAACTTCATATATCTTTTCATGAAATATCGATTTTGGTCATTTATCTCTAGAGAGCCAGAAAATCAAACAAAATAATCTAATGTTATCTGTGCAATATTCAGATTTTAGGAATTGTGCTTTTGGCAAGGGTTCCGTAGTTTGCCAATTGTTTCCATCCTTCTACAGGAGACTTAATGGAGGATCTGGGAATAGCGAACTAGATTTCTGTTTCTTGAACGCTATTTAATAAGGCAAACATTAAATGTCTAGAGTTCTATTATTGGATGTAGACATTGAAATGTTGTACATGTATGGCGTCCATCTCCGATTCCGACCCAAAGGTTAAAAGTAAGCCTTGGAACGAACTTGGGATATATGTGCGGTCGACTTGTCTCTTTGCGAGGTGAATGTGGATATGCAGATTTGAGACAAAGAGGGGAAAGACTTGACATGTCTTGTCGCGTGGGTCTGTAGGCGAGTACTTGTCATTTTTACTTTGGGGCTCGGGGAATCGGGGGGCCATGAAATTGAATGCAGCGAAGAGCGTTTTTTTCGGAGATTAATGCAGGAAATTCGTTAAGATTATGTCCCATGTCTTTCCTATATAGGTAATGGGTGGGATATCACGGCAATGGGATGAAGGTTTATGATGTACATAGTTTATGATACATTCCAGAATCTTATGTGTTTTCGCATCTATGGGGTCCCGTTTACCCTCGGTCTTCCCTTTATATTAGTTATAGATTAATAGCGATGTTAGCGCCCAGGTGATCTCCAGAGCTAAACGCTCATCCCTACCCTATCCCTGACCAGGTGTGATTGGTATGGGGTGCATATTGACATATTGGCACATTGGTATCTAAATAATTTAAGTTAATATATCATCACTACTTGACTTTATATTTCCAATAGTTCAGGTGTGAGCTATCCTCTCAGTTCCCGATCCGTACTTTTGCCTACTGTCTTTACCCGCCCTAAAAAGTTGGATCTGTCTCTGATCCAAACTCTTTTTGTAACCGGGAAGATCACGCCAAAGGGTTCTTAAAAGGTTTGTTCTCCCGGATTTGATACCTCACATCCGGTGTACAAAATACTGAGTACAAGGCACAGTTTGACGTTTTTCTCTAGGTTCCCCCTTGCATTCACATTTAAGGGGAACAAGGAGAAACGCCAATGGAAAAACAGTCCAATTGACGATTAGTCTGTGGTTGGCCAGCATTTTCCCTGCCACAATACGCACAATGCCAAAAAAAAAAGAGGACCGAATCCTAAACGGCAACATGCAGCTGCATCAGTAGCATCCGAATCCATCCAAATGCTGTATCATATTACTTACCAAGCTATACATCGCGAGTGCCAGGTTATCCACACCTTACTTAGATCCCCTTGGTCGAACCCGTTTTCATTATCTGCAGGACCTGTTCGGATTTGTGCTACCGTTTTAGCCTCAACCTGTGCCTTTCCTTCCCGAGGGGTTCCCCCGAGTACTCCTAGGATCCCCTCCAAGTAAGGATGAGACAACTCACTTAAGATCCTATTAAACTCTCTGTCTTTCCGGTTGCCTCGCAGTTCCGGATTTTGTTTCAACTTTCTCATCTAGAACGCCACATCGCCAACTCTTGTCGACTTTGTACATATCGACACCCCCTGTATATAGTGGTGTCAGCTTGCGTCGACGTATCATATTCCTCTCGCATCCATATAGCCTCCCAGGCCCCTATCGTGTTGGTCTTCCTGAGCAGGTGAGCATGTCGCGCTCCCGAGACAATGCATCGGTTCGTCGGTTCGTCTAACTTAGGAAGTATAGCGGTGTCTATTGCTTTGCCTGTTGAGCCTGCATTTTTATGCCGACACCCCGGGACTGCCGGATTGCAAAGCCAGCCAGTGGTTGATACTCCGTCTCCCTATGAATCAGTGCGACTCACCATATGACTGTGCCGTCGCACCGAGCCCAATCGTTCGGACTTATCGACCTGATCCTCCATCAAAACGCAAGCTCTCCAACATGACCTCCACAAAGACCGGCCCACCACCTAGGCCTCTAGCTGCCCCCAGGCCTCGAGACGTCAGTACCCCGCGGCCTGAAGCCCGATCAGCAGGAACAGCCGAAAGAGCTGGTAGAAATGAAAGTCTAGTGGACATGGTTCGTTTCTTCCAGACTCAAAATATACCTGTTCAGCCCCCTCCATCTCGACCTCCATCTCGACCCCATTCTCGAGCACCTTCTCAGACTCAACCCTCGAGCCCTTCCGATACAACCACGGCACTCCCGGTTCCTATCTCGCCTGAACCATCGAAGCCAGAATTGAAGCCAGATCCGAAACCGGATCCAAAGCAGGAACTGAAGCCATTCCATCGTCGCCTCTTGCAGTTTGCACAGCGCCAAAAGAAGGAATCAACGCCCAGATCAAAAGAAGAAGAACAACGGCGCCAAATTGAAGCACTAACAAGGGGAGGATTTATTACCCCAGACCCTCCTCCTCCAAAGGTGTCAAAGGCACAAAAAGAGGCAAAGAGATCAAAAGAAAGAGTGTCACCGTCTCTTTCTCGATCTCTTTCTAAATCAAAGAAAGATGTGGAGAACATTGGACAGCCATGGTTGCAAGCCAAAGTCGATACCAACAGGCGATCAACTGAGACAAGACGTCGCTTGGCCTCTTTGGATCTTGATGACTTTGGCTCAATGGTCGATGTCGCAGTCTCACTCACATCCGAATTTGACGATTCTATGCCGCCACCATATCAGCCAAGTGATCAAGCCTCCCCCCAATCGCCATCAGCTATCCCGGTTTCAAGTTCCAGGGCAGATCCTGGTCCTCAAGATATCATCCGGCCAGCTTCTTCATTGGCTTCTACCAGTCATTCCTATAGGAACGTCTCAACCGATGAGCAAATCCGACGTCCATCTACCTCTGCAGAGCCAAGTGTCCGTGCTGACCCTGTCTCACGAGTCACTGCCAATGCATCCTTGAGTGTTAGTGTGACAGAATCGCAGTCTAGACTGTCCATTGATAGCCAAAAGCGGACTCCGTCAGGCCAATCTTCGCTTCGCAATGTGACACCCTTGTCACCCACCTTGAAACTGTTCCCTAACGTTGCACCTCCTCGCAAATCGAGTAAGGGTGCATTGCGAAATTCATCAATTCCTCGGTGCCAAACGATTGAAAATAACACGGCATCTCTGGCATCTCCACCATCCCACTCGCGAATTGGACCTTCTGACCAGGTACCTGAAGTTCAAGATGAGCCACACAAATCGTCAGATGGTTCAATAGACGCCCCAATCAACGAGGCAGAACCAAAGTGCTCAGATGTTCTTGCACCTTGTTCCACATCTTCTGCGGCGGCGCCATCTATAGAAAATGCCACCAAGGAGCAAGATGAGTCTAAAACTCGACCGCTGTCGTTGTCTCTGGGCACGCTGAAGGCATTTCCTCTCCCAGCGCCTACAAGGCCCCTGCCATCGCTGCCCGAAGCTAAATGCTCGCCGAGTCCTCCGGACACCAACGCCGGCTCTGTTCAAGCGATTAGTTCAAGGCCATCGTCATCCAATCTACATTCTTCTTCGGCAACGCTAATTGAAAACAAGAAGATCGAATCCGCTGTCGACAGCCTTGGTACCCTTGACTCGCCTCCGGCGACCGATCTTGGAAGCGTCGATGCTGGAGAGTCAATGGCCGATGACGAGGAAAGCTTGTTTACCACTTCGCTTTCGGAACACTACCAGCCAACCCCGGAACATTGCACTCCAAGAGGACGTGTTTCAAGCGTGCGCATCCCTCGAATGCAAGAACTCCCTGAAAGCCCTTCAAGTGAATGTTATGCAGAGGTGTCAGAGGGACAGCCTCTAGCTGACTCTCCTGTACTCGGGCACTCTACCCCTACCAAGCCTAATGACAAACGTGCTGCTCTGAAGGAGCTTCAGATCAATTCCCAAGTCAGCCGAAAAAACCTCCCATTCGGTCTACCATCGCCTCCACCCACTGCATCACTCCCATCAGCTCCACCTCCTCAGCACCCACCCCCTGCGCCTCCTGGGCGAAAGGCTGGCCAACACAAATACACTGCGCCTAACGTGGCTGTCCTGTCGTCCATGAGGAACATGGAAGCGCATCCTGCAACGGGGCCCTACCGAGGCTCGACCATATCCCGGAGCAACAGCTCAGGGAGCAGCCTCCGACATGAGAGCTTCCCCGAAACATACCAACAAAGTCGCCCTGAATATCGCTCCGAGTCTCCACTTCCATCATCAGACGATGAGGTTTTTGGTCCAGGGGCAAACACCAAACACTCGCGTCGGGAGGGCGACAAATACCAGCGCATTCAGCCAACACGCCGAGGATATGAGACAATGGATCCACGACAGATATCCAATAGTCGACTTCGTTACCCCAATCCCGCGCGCCCTATGACACCCCAAAGCCGCAGCGTCCACAGTATTGAGAGGACTGCGTCCCCTCAGTCACAATATTCTCAATCAACCCACAGATCAAGGGAGTCCCAAAGCAGCCAAAACCCCCGTGCTGCTCCTCAAATGGATCACTACCTCGAGGACCGGGTCGCGAACCTGGAACGCCAGAACCAGATTCTACAAGCCGCTCTTATGGCGGCGCTCAACGCTGGAGTCAAAAGTCCTCTCGATGGTCTCAATCTCGACCCGAACATGTCATCGGGCTTCCCACATGCTCCCTTCCCGCATCAATACTCCGGTCGTCATGCGGCACGGCCTGATAGCTGGGTCAGCTCTTCTCGCAGCAGTGAGCACAGCGGGTTTGAGACTTCTAGCTCCCACCGAGATACCCGGGCAAACGTCAAACAGCTGGACAACATGATCGAAGACATTGAGTCTGGTTGGTTGTCGGACAAGTCCAGTTTCACTGGGGCTCGAATTTCCCGCAAACGATAGATAAAGATCTTTTCTTTTTTCTCTTTCTTTTTTTTTACTTCATTGCTTCTAGCGGAAGGATGTTACTTATTATTGACTTGTGATGATTTTTTGGGCTTTCTACATATCCAGGCCTTGTCTAACTTTTTTACCTGTATTCTCCATGATACCATTTTGTTTTACTTTTAATTTTTTTTGGATTTTATATTATTGCGCTGAATCTTACGCTATATATATTCCTGCAAGCAACAATAAATTAGCTGTATAAAGTTCCGAGTCGAGATTGCAGTGCATCGAATGAAGCTCTCACATAGAATTGAAACTACGCAATAAGTCTTTAATGATAAAGATGGAGTTTTTAACCGAGGTTTTATCAGTTTGTCAGTGAATGAAGAGCTTAAAGATCTTCACAGGAGGATTCTATCTATCCATAAATATTTTTGTGCCCATCCCATGCTTAGTCATTTGTTTTGGAGACGCCCAAATGCAATCAACTTCTTGAACTCCATGTACTTCAATCATTCTGACCGAAGGAAAGTACATAGCGGAAACAGCAATTGCAAATACATGAGGGGCTTAGTACTCATCTAACCAGCCCCTAACAATAACCTCCCACACCGCATACCAACACTCTTTCACATTCCCCGCGGAACCCCCCCCCCCCAATCATGGCGAACGCAGGACAAGTAAGTACAACCTCTCCTCCAAATACGCCCAAGTATTCTAACAAACCCCAAAGCGCACACAACAAGTCCCCCAGCATGTCACCGCACTACTCTCACACCTCACCTCCCGCCCAGGCGTGCAATCCACCTTGATCCTCTCCCGCAAAGACGGGTCCATCATCCAAAGCACAGGACAGCTAGCACAGACGGAAGAAAACAGCACCTCTCGCACCGCACACATCCCCCCATCAACAAACGAACAGAGCCCCCTCTCCACCACCCAACCAAGAGACCCATCCCCTACCCTGCCCGTGTCACAGCCCTACCAACCCTCGCAAGCCGAAACGCTAGCCGCCCACATCTTCGCGTTCGTCTCTAGTGCTGAAGCACTCGGTGTCTCACTATCACGACCCACGCTCACTGTGCAGCGACCCAGCGACACCCATTGGGATGTTAACTACGACGATGCGAACGAGGGCACGGCACGTGAGGAAGACCAGGACGGGGATGATTTCGATCGGGATGAGGATGGAGAAGTGAAGCTGCTGAGAATGCGCACGAAGAAACATGAAATTGTGGTCGTTCCGGACCGGAAGTACTTGCTGTGTGTTGTACATGATGCTTCCCCCGGTTCAGCGCCGGCGGCGGGCTCGCGCCGGTAGTGGAAATATTGTTATTGGGAATACAGCTGCTGTTGTGGGGTGCTTTCGGGGTTTTTGTGTTTTACGGGGGTTTGTTTGTTGGATTTGGATTTCATACATATACCCGATGGAAGCAAAATCTTTGCATTTAATTCTTGTTTTCCATGTCATGGCTATGTGTAGGAATGCCTGTATATGGGTTGATTCAGAGAGAGAGAGAGAGAGATGTCTATCTGTACACTAGCAAAGTACTGCTTTCCATTGCTTTATGGAGGGATGATACTGCGGGCAATGTGGGTGTTCCCGTTGAGCGAAGCAACCTACTCTTTCTGTTCATACAGACTCGATCGCAAGCTCCATGATGTAGATGTAGAGTCGACATGTCCCCTCAGATCCTCGGACGGAATGGAATCGAAGTACAACGCAGCTTGAGACCGGAGCAAATCCGTAACAGCTCCGCTGTTTACCCCTCTCAGCGGGGCTGACGATTATCAAGTGGACAGACATCCTTCGTATCTTGCAATTATCACGCCGAAGTGCACATATACTATCTGGTTATATCAAACGAATCTGATATCATTCAATATGGCCTCTACCTTCGATGTTTCGGCAGCCCGCTCTCGTTTCCCTGCATTGCAACAGGAGCAAGTCTATATGGACAACGCTGGTGAGATAGACCTCCAGTTCTATCTCCCCGATGGTTCTGATTGCATGCTAATTTAAACTACAGGTGGAAGTCAGGTTCTCGATACTGTGGCCGACTCGTTAGTCTAGTCAATGGGCCATTGTATATTTCTATATACTGACCGACCATAGCATCCGTGCTTACCTGCTGAACACAAATGTCCAGCTCGGAGCTAGCTATAAAGTCTCTCGGATTTCGACTAATGCATACGATAATGCATACAAAGTGGCTGCTGGGTTCACCAACGCTGCGCCCGAGGAGGTATCCGCACTATAATCCCTGGCATCACTTCCCAAGTATAAGCACTGCTAAACTTCGGGTGCTAACGCATAAATCCGAAACAGATCAGCATCGGTGTCTCAACCACGCAGCTCCTGCACAACCTCTCTACGGCGCTTCAATTCCAACCTGGTGATGAACTAGTTATATCCAAACTCAACCACGAGGCCAATACCTCCCCGTGGGTCCATATAGCAGAGAGGTTGGGCTTGACTGTAAAGTGGTGGGCTGCTTCCGACCCAAAGAATCCAGTGTGTGATTCAGCCGAGTTGAAGTCCCTGCTCTCCGATAAGACCAGACTCGTAGCATGTCCACATGCTTCCAATATCACTGGGACTATCAGTCCCATCCGTGAGATTGCAGACGTTGTCCATGCTCATCCTCACGTGAGTAACAATGATCGATTGCTTTCTATGCACTCGCTCACCCGGCTTAACAGGCACTCCTGTGTGTGGATGGAGTCGCCCTCGCACCGCATCGCCAGGTCGACGTGAAAGCGTTAGACGTGGATTTCTACGTAAATTGCAACCCAAGCTTATGCATGACTGGTTCATTGCTGACCTCCACCCCCCACTAGGTATTCTCCTGGTACAAAGTATATGGACCACACCTGGCGCAACTATATGCCTCATCACGGGTTCACGACCAGATCCAGTCACTGGGTCATTTCTTCAAGCCTACTGATACACTAGACCTGAAGCTCAATCTGGCATCGGCTAATTATGAGCTTACACAGAGTATTCCCCAGATTGTGGAGTACTTTGGTTCCGAGCCTAGCACGACCTGGGCCCAGATGGCCGAGCACGAGGAACAGCTGCAACAGATTCTACTAGAATATCTGGCTTCTAATAGCCGGATTGATGTTATCGGTGAACCCTCGGCCAGCAAGGAGCTTCGCGTGCCGGTTATTAGCTTCGTTGTGCAGGGAGTGGGTAGTCAGCGCGTTGTGGAGGAAGTTGAGCGTCGATCGGCCTTTGGGTTCCGCAGTGGTCATATGTACAGCCACCGGCTACTGGCCGACGTGTGCGGATTGGACGATGTGGAGGACGGGGTGGTGCGGGTCAGCTTCCTGCACTATAACACCGGTGAGTGGGTATCTCGATAGGATTCGTTCGACAACTAACAAGGACAGTGGCCGAAGTACGGGGGCTGGTAGAGGTATTGCGAGAGGTGCTTGCATCGTTGTAGATAGTTGTACTTGTACAGCTTGGGCTCTCTAGATATATTCTATCGCCACACGCTATGTTTTCTCCATAGCTACTATTATGTACTCCAAAGTACAGGTATATTTTTGCCACTTGCCCTGTAGTGGTATCCAACGACTATCTGAACTTTCGAGTAATCCTGTAGAACTTGAAGCCTAAGAGATTCCTTATTTTCAGCCTGAGTTCCCACCTTGAGGTCATATGAGTTCAAAATACACCGAGGTTCCCCAGCTCCATCTGGAAGGCTGCAGGCAACCCCAACCAGCGCCGATCGCAATATCCAGCCAATCAACATGGAAATATTTGTGGAATAATGGGAATTATAGTGGATCGCAGCCTAACAGCCGCGCGTGGATTGGTCAGGATTGGTCAGGATTGGCTAGGGTGCAAAGACAGCGTGGCAAGCGGATTTATGACTCAGTGGAATCTGGACAGAACTTTCAAGATGATGTTGATTCATATTTCTGATTTGTGAAGGTATTCTTTGCTTAAAATAAGATTCATCTCACTATGAGTGGCTACACAGACATTAAGGTGTCACTGCATGATCATTTCTATTTTATGTGTAGATAATGATTATCTTCTAGAAGCAAATCAGAGGATAATATGGAATATAAGATAGAAGGAGTAGTTATCTGATAGGATATAGTGTATAATAGCATATAATATAGTAGAATAGTGTATAAAAAAAAGGTGATAGAAGCATGAGTCACCGTCGTACCACTTCAGCACTTCTCTTCTGCCCTCCTATCTCGGAGTCTTTCTCGCCGCATCCGGGTTTTCCCCTCTCACATCTCTTCGAGATAGTCCATCTCCTGATTATAAGGAGATCATAATATGAAGTAGAGTATTTGACTATATTCTATATTCTATTTACGTGGTCCCTGCGCCTCCCGGCATCTTCCTAACCCGCCACCCACCTTTCTCGCCACAAGGACTTTCATTTTCCCCTTCTCTTCATTTTTTGCCCCCCTCTTAGTCAAACCCAGACTTTGAGAAAAAAAAGAGTCATAGGTTAGTTCCTAAATAAATATCCTTCCCTCTCTGACTCTTCAACGCTAACACCTCCATCTCGCCTCCCCTATCAGCCTCCCCTCTCCCCCGACCCTCTCTCTCTGCCTAGACGCCCTCAACGACTGCCTTGTACAAGCCCGCCACCAGCGTGGTTCTGCCTGTCCATGGTCTGTTGGGTGCCTTGATATAAACTCTTTTCTATCACACGACTCATTTCAAAATGTACCCTATTGATTCCTTCGTTCCGATCGCCTTTGCTGCTGTTACCGACCTCCGCATCGTCACCGTCTCTGGCTCCATCTGAATACTCATCAGAAAGAGTCATATCCCCGCCACGTGCCCCTGCTTTGGTTTATATCAGAAGCACTTGGTAGATCGGATCGTGAATACGTTTTCCTTTTCTTGTCTTTATAGTTGATTACTTCCCCCCTTTGGCCTCCTCTTTACCCGCTACACCCGGCGGTTCCGCTTATTTTTCTACGTCTGGTTATCAACCTGGCTCTCTACATTTAAAGGTCTGCCGTCGCCTAGCTCGCAAAGACGGCTCTGTCTCCTCGGCTCTCGTTCCCGGTTCCCTGCTTAACGGTATCTTGACACTACGGTTCCAAAAATCGGACCATCTCGCTCTATCCGGCTGTCTTCATTTGAACTTTGTTCACCACAAATGCCCTATATGAACTCTACACTTTCGGATATGTCAGGGATGGACGTCTTGGGCTTGACCCTCTCAAACCCAAGCTCCCAATTGACAGCGTCTCACCACGCTCACCCCTATGCCTCCTCGATCTCCTCCTCCGCCGCCTCCTCTTCCTCATCTGTATTCTCCCTCGATTGCGTCTCACAGAGTTCGATATCATCCACGTCGACCAACCCGGTTGATGTGATTTGGGAGAATGAGAATAGCCATTTGGCTGGAAGAAATCCAAACGGAGCGGTCCCCCGAGCTTTTGCTAAGGGACCTGCTTCCAAGGTAGACGGTGTAGTGCCATCCGAGCTGCGAACGCACCCTCGGCGCACTAACAGTTATTCTTCTAGCGCTCCCAGTGCGCGCCCTCCGCCATGTCTGCTACGGCAGTCGGAACGGAAGGTGAACTTCGTCGACAACCTCGTCGGTAAGTCTTAAAAAAAGACTCAAAGTACGTCGTGTACGCTCGGCTAAACATTCCCCCGTCTTAAGACACCGCATCACAGATTGTTGAGACTATTTGGCCTCTTTCCGCCGCAGCATCACGCAGTGATGCCGCGACCGGATCCAAAGGGGTTCTTCCTCTCCGCACTTTTATCCAGGAGACTCTCCGCCGCTCGCGTACTAGCTACAGTACCTTGCAGGTGGCCTTGTATTATTTGATTAAAATCAAGCCCCACGTGCCCACGCATGACTTCACAAAGGAGCAGCCTCGGGATCAGTCGCCTTTGCGGGCGATGCAGTGTGGGCGCCGCATGTTTCTGGCAGCGCTGATTCTCGCTTCAAAGTATTTGCAGGATCGCAACTACTCCGCTCGGGCCTGGAGCAAGATTTCTGGCCTTAATACTCTCGAGATTAACCAGAATGAACTTATGTTCCTCAAGGCTGTCGGATGGCGCCTGCATATCGATGAAGCAACGTTTCAGCGTTGGACCGATCTGGTCTTGAAGCTGACCCCTGGTGCCGGTGGTCCCCCGGTTGCTAAAGGTCAGTGCTGGCAGACTGTCCTACCCAGACTCACCCCTGAACTGGACTTTGTAGAGTCTGAGCCCATGACCCCAGTACCGGCGATGGGGATAGATCCCGGTCTGTCAGAATTCCCCCTCGCCTCGTAGTCTGCCAAGCAACGAGTCGGTGCGTTCCGTACCGCGCGAACAAACTCAGACTTATACTCGGGGTCTTCCGCGAGCCATGGAGCCGACTCCGAGCATGGACTTTACCAACATGGCTTTGCCTAGTGTTCCACGGCCTATGATGCTTCCGACACCACAAATGACCCCCCAGTCTCAAGTGGCCCCCACTCCTGCTGCGAGTGTGGCTGCTTACAACCCCCGCCGCCCATCCATCTGTACGGCTATGTCTCAGGCGCAGAATGTGTGCATGGCGCGATCAACACTCGATCAGCGCCCGCCCCTGTCATTCTGCCCTCGGACTCAGTCGTACGATGGTTACCCGGCTGCGGCCCGTCGGTCATCTTTGGCTCGCTCGACCTCATCGGCATCGTCGCCTGACTCGATGGTTTCGGACGTTTCTACCCTCTCGTCCCGCTCTTCGCGGTCGTCATCAGTCTCGTCCAACGCCTCGGGTACTTCTGGCTCAGCACCAGCTAGCCTGGCCGTTAAGGCTACATTACGCTGCACTAGCAACTCCCTCAAGGAGTCCCGCAAGACTCTGGCCATCGCCTCTCCAATTGATGAGAGGCTGGTCGGTGTCTACAGCTCTCCTGAATATACCGGTTCTATGGGTTCTTCGGTCCCAGACCTGTCTAATTTTTCCCTGGATTCCAGCCTGAGCGAAGCTGCTCAGAGTCTCTGCGAACTTTCCGGTGCGACGCCCGAACGGCGCCAGTGCCGAAAACGCGGACGTACTGGATCCGACGATCTCTTGCTTCAAAACCATGTGCGCCATCTGATCAACCTCGGGGCCTCTGGAGAACACTCCGTGTTGCCTGATGGACATTTCCCACAGTCCTTTATGACGCAACATGGCTCCTCTATTGCTCCCGTGCGGACTGGCCCAGTCTCCGGACCAGCAGGCATGAAACGTGCCTGCTGTGGCAGCGAAGCACGCAAGATCGCATTGAACCCGAGTCTCCGTGTTGCGGAGTACTTGAATTGACTTGCGATTTATTAGCGGATTTCCCCTTATTTTTCTGATTTCCTTTGTGTGAGGCAAAAAAAGAAAAAGTCCGTCATTTTGTGTTTCTTTCCCCTACGACGACTTGACCCCGTTGTACATACCCCTATTCTCTCGGGTACTCGGTCGGACGTATTGCGGATTTGGGCGTTTGATTCCCACGATGTGTACGATGTGGTGATGACTGGCATGTCTTCTACTTGCATCCTGCATCTGTTCTCTCACTCTTTTATCCTTTTTTTTATCTATTGTGGTTGCGAACGGAGTGGTCGGTATGGGACGGTTATGGTTTATTTTACTCTGGTTACTATGGGGGAAAGCGGGCGTCTATGCCCTGATTATACCTGTATCAACTCTTCCATCTAGGGAATGGTATATTTACCATCCCCGAGGGCGAGCCCTCGGATAGGATAGTCAAATCCAAATACAGCTTAACAGCGATATCGGCCCTCGTATTCCATACGCTAGGCAACTGCTTAGATGTTCACATGACAGGACCGTGCAACCATGGATCTGGAATTCTGTGAGTCATTCATGCGTCAATGCGTATGTGGCTGTGGGCCCCTGGTGTGGCTGTGGATGTGGCTGTGGGCCCGAGTGGCGGCTAGCCATCATTTCTAAGTATAGAGTGGAGCATATGCATGCCATTGACAGCTTTGCAAGGAGCTTTGTACTTGATTTCGATTCTGGGGTGCTTGGGCATATGCAGGCAAAAGCCCCGTGTCTATCTGGGGCCGATTTTAAACTCGACCAATACAATATCCTAGGGTGGGGGCTAATAAGCTCTTCCTTGTTTTCGGATATCGACTTGGTGAGATGAAATATTATATGAATACGAACGGTTAACCTACAGATAGAGGGAATATGATGTATTCCGATATGATGGATATCCTTTTTGGTGTTATTTTTCTATCTTGATGTCATAGCTCGAATGATGATATCTAATCTAATATTTATGGCATCTTTTATAGCGTCTTTTTGGGGGTCTTTTTAGATGTCCTTCTTGATATCTTACATATGCACATTGAGACTATGGCTACAGGTCATTCCTTCCAACCATGCTCCTTCCTCCGTTGATCTCTCTTCCCTCCTCATCTTCCATTCTCGCCTTCTCCAGCAGCCACGCTCAATCCCTGGTATTTTTTCTTCTCCCTATCAATGTCCTTGTTGACGTCGAATACGATATAACCTCTCGTTCAAGGATTTCGGGACACAGGCGTACGGGGAAATCCTGGTCCATACTGAGTTTGCCCCACTCATCTTCGAACCTATCTCTTCCCAACATCAAAGACTGACAAACCTCACCCGCCATGCAACATGACTCTCACTGCCACCCCGCTGTGGAATAAACCCGTTAACTTTTGGGTCTTCCCAGTTATCTCACGTTTCTGCTACTTCGACGTGAGATGGGCGATAAAATGATCGGTACAAACAACAAAGAGATCTCTATTGGGGAAGATACACCCCAACTCCAGGTCATCACGGTGCAACATCGGTATACAAAACATGTACAGCGTGAGAACGACAGTTGTACTACTACATGATACCCCATCCCACAAAGGACCGCTGCTAAATACCACAAAATGTGGTGTTGTATGTTGTGCGTTATGACGGCTGGCCTTGCTTTTCTGTTAACAATACATATTCCTCATCACATCCCAACATACGTCTAGATATCTGCCTATATAGGCCTTGCTCTTCTCATTTTACGCTTCATGCGCAATTGCCTAGACCATGTTATATTGGCCAAGAACAGCCAGCTATACTTGAACCCGGAGATTGTTGAAGCATGCTTGGCATATATACCGTTAGGGCATTCTACGAGAGACCTGGGAGTCCCGGGAATCCCGGGAAGTGACACCAACATGGCGTTTAATAGACGAACGAGCAGTAAGGCATTGTTGCGAACTATTATGTAAAGTCAGGACTCGGTCGACAAGCAGGTTTAGAGCTCAATTCCCACCCAGGAATTACGGGATGTCAAGCACTGTATGTTTGATCCACAGGGCATCCAACAGATGCCACGGAACAAGTACTGGAGAATTACCGGTGGAGTATAAATGGGGAAAATCCAAAGTGGCGCCACTGGCGGCTAGAGACTACCGTAGATGACCCGATCAGATAAGATTGCTATCAGCTGATGGTCTCCGCACTTTCATGGGCATTTCATTCTACTTCTTCTTATTCCCTATAAAGGTCTGAAAGCCCTTTGAAAGCCAACTTATCCATCTGATTAGCTGTCAAGATGGTCTCTCGCTCGGCTATCCTCACTGGCGCTCTCGCGCTACTTTTACCCCTCACGGCCCACGGCTTTGTTCTCCCACTTGAAGACAATCTCCAGGCTTTCCTTGAACAACCAAACAGTTTGAACGCGGCCCCAAACTCCGATAATTTTGAAGATAAAAGTGCCTTAAACCGCCCGTCATGGTTCACCTCGACTTTGATGGCCCGCCGTCTGCTTGCTTTGTCACCCTCCGGCGTCATCTCCACCAATTTCCCAGAGTCCCTCCCACCCTCCGCACACGCCCCCTCAGATGTTGCCGGTCTCTCTATCGGACTCCGCGAGTACATCGCCGATTGCGATGGATCACTGCCATCGGATCTCTCTCACGATGATAACGGCGATCCAACAATTCTTGGCCTTCGCATTGGAACTACTTTCAAGAACATCGCAGCGGGATCTAATCTCAGTCTCCAGTTAGACTGGTGGGATCATCTCAACGAGGCCGGTCCAGTATACCCTGGTCTGCCTCTCAGCCCCGCTGCTCTACCTCGCGTCACTCTCTTTGGATACTTGGAGAATCTCCCGTCCCCGCTTCCCGCGGACGCAGCTGCAGTGCTCGAGAAGTGTTTCCTCGAGCCACATCCCGATGCCAAGGTATGGATACCAGGTTCCGCTTACTCGCCTCATGCAAGTTTCTGGGCCCGGTTGGTGGTTACACATGCTTACTGGATTGGCGGGTTTGGGGACGTGCAGCAGATTGGGTGGATCAATCTTACGGAGTGGCAAGGGATCAGGCCACACGGCAGTGTGAAGGGTGTTGGTGATGGAAGAGGGTGGCAGGATGTCCGTTTGCCCGGGGAGAAGCAGTAAATGGTACCTAGTTCCTCCGTACTTAGTGATCGACGAATGACTAGGGGTAGCGACGATCGCATAAGTTGTCTTCTTTTGCATTAGACCCAACATGGATAGCAATTAAGCATATCTCGATATCTCTACACTTTCAATGAGTTTTACGAGGTACTTTTGAGCTCTCCATTCTCATTCGTCCCCCTGTGCTTATCTGCACCATGTACGCTTATCATTCCAAGGATTCTTATCATCATCCTTGTGCACGGGACAGGGGGGCAAATCTGGGGAATAAGAAGACGTTGGACCTACATTTCTGTTGCTCTCTTATGTTTCATATTGAGCTATTCCACTTGTGTTGTGGTGTCCAATTCAATACATACAGACCGGGGCCCAACCCCTCTTTATCTTGAGAACATCCATCTCACCGACTATCTTGACATCCATTTCACCGGTTACATCTTCAATCATGAGACTACGCATCTCTAGGCCGCATGTACGGGTCTCACAGGGTGAATCTGCATTTGCTGCAGGCAATGCGCGGTGGACAAATCGTGATCTTGACCCCATTGCCAAGAATGCGCGCAAATGGGGTGCATTCAGTATAATAGGTACGGTACTTGTGCTTATCTTTTATAAACATCAAGCTGGGGCTAATAGAACATGTTATTAGCATATTGGATCTCCGATGCCTTGCAAGCAGCGACATGGCAGTTTGCCAGCGGTATGATTGCCGTCGGCCTCACATACCGTGAAGCACTGGGCATCGTCGCCTTATCCTTCTTCATCATCTCGTTGGTCATTTCAGCAAACGGTGCCGTGGGTGCGATATACCACGTGCCATTCCCCGTAATTGCACGTGCTAGCTGGGGCTTTTGGGGCTCATATATCGCCATTATTTCACGAGTCATCCTTGCCGTCTTTTGGTTTGCTATCCAGAATGTCAATGGTGGAAATGCTGTCCGTGTCATGATCGGAGCAATCTGGCCAAGCTTTTTGAATCTGCACAATGGTATCCCCGAGTCACAGGGTATCACGACCAGCGGTATGGTCGGATTCCTGCTCTTCTGGCTGCTTCAGGTTCCATTCCTCTGCATGCACCCAAACAATCTGCGCTGGCTGTTTACAGTCAAAACAGTGGTGGTTCCCATTACATGGCTCGCTATATTGATATGGGCTTTCGTCACCGTGAAAGGTGGTGGCGGTGTCTTTGACCAACAGGCTCCAACAGTCTCCGGATCCAAGTACAGCTGGCTTTTCTTGGCCAATATGACATCTGTGCTGGGAAATTATGCGCCTTTATCCCTCAACCAGAGTGATTTCAGTCGCTATTCCCGCGTCAGTGTCAAGTGGCAGCTCCTTTATATCCCCATGCTACCAATTGTATTCACATTCTTCTCCTTCATTGGCATTGCCGCCTCGTCCGCCGGCCAGATTCACTATAATCTCGAGACCATCCCATGGGATCCCATGGTTCTGATCAGCTACTGGCCCAACCGCGCGTGTCGCTTTTTTGGCGCCGCTTCTTTTACACTAGCCGCCCTGGGTGTGAACATCTCGGCCAACTCCCTTTCAGCCGCTAACGATTTCACCGCATTGGCACCACGCTATATCAACATCCGACGTGGCCAGCTCCTCTGCGCTGTGTTGTCCTGGTGTCTTGTTCCCTGGAAAATCCTCGCATCGGCAGGGAACTTCCTTAGTTTCATGTCTGCATACGCCATCTTCCTTGGCCCTATTGCTGCAATCATGATGTTTGACTTCTGGGTTGTCAATCGTCGTCGATATGACATCCTCGCTCTATATCAGCCCAGTAACCCGACATATCGGTATACATTCGCCATCCCGGGCCTTGGGGGCAAGACTATGTCTGGCACGAACTGGCGCGCTGTGGTGGCTTTTATCGTGGGCGTTGCGCCATCTCTTCCCGGATTTATCAATTCTGTGAACTCAAACATCAATGTTGGCGTCGGTATACATCCGTTTGAGTTTGGGTGGCTGTTGGGCTTTGTTGCGACTTCTATTGTCTACCTGCTGTTATCATGGCGGTTCCCTGCGGAGGAGACACACGTCGACCGCGCTGTTCTACCTGATGAGATATACGATAGAGGTACAGTGGTGGACGGACTGGAATCAGACGACCCAGATCGAAAGGATGTGGTTACTGATACACAGGAGAAGGATGTGGAAAAGGCTGTCTAGGCTTTCTCTAGTATTTATGTGAATCTTATATTCTGTACCGAGTGGCATGTACATATATTTGTGAATTTTTAAGTACTAACTCCAATAATACTCGATCGCTTATGTGGCATTTGTCCTTGACAGTGTATAAGAATCCGAATTTCCTAGGACGATTAAGTGTACCTCTCTCTCATTGGATTAGATTGCCAGACAGTTATTCAGTCATCCACTCTCACAAGGTTACGGGCGACTGCAGGACATAGCTCTATCATTAGACAATACCTAGCCGCTTTTATCACCGCCCATTGATACATGTATACCAATTCCAATTTCACTTTTTCTTTCTCTTTTATTTGTATACCTACATACTTCATGATACTACGATTAACCAGTGATTTGTAGGTGGCAAAGGTAAAGGCTCAAATCCCTACAAAGAAAATCATTGTAGCTAAGCAATCATCGCCACCCGCATATCCGAAAGTGGGCACACACGCTTCGAGAAAGCGATAATTTACGGTCAGGCATATAATCCTATGAGAGAGTTGTGCCCAGCTGGCACACTCAGTCGCCTGTATCTCCATTTGACCGGAGATGGTATGAGGATGCTGTATCTGATCACGCTATCTTGTGTTCTGTAATGCATTCTTCGATGTTGCTTTTGCATCTTAAAATTGCAACCGGGATGGTTACAGCTTTAGTAATATTTAGGGCATTGTTCGTCACATGGTAGCGGCGTAACCGGTTAAGTCCCTTCATGGTAGCCAGCATCGAGCTAGCTAGATACCGTAAGAGGCTGTATAAGCGGCAAATAACCTATAGCTCGGAAACACCACGATCTGGATGTATTCCATAGATCACAAAGACGTATTTATCCCTGATGGTATTCTAAGGGAACTATTAAATGACATGGTGAAGTGATGAGAGGGCCCGAAAGGGTAGTAGTGTAACGCTGGAAAGACAAAAGAAAATCTTACAGGATGACATTCATCATTGGTATTTGAAACTACTGGTTTCATTATGTGACAGGCATATGATATAACGTCATGTGGATGCTCACAAGTACGTCGAGATTTGCGTTGCGGTGCTTACTTGCGTTTGGGTTTGGGTCGGATGAAAGGATCTGAGTCCTTCTTTTTGCGCATCATCGGGGGTCGGGGCTTGGGAGGACCTTGGTTGGCAGCCTAGATTGATAAGATATTAGTATGAGCGATCAATAAGAGAAATCAGCCAAGAACATGGCACTTACATCTGCTTCTGGTCTCGTTGGCAGAGCCCTTGTTGGGTTATTTTCGGTGGGATACGCCTGGCCATCGCGAGAAGGTTTGATGAGACCCTAAGAAATTGTCAGATATGTGAACGCTAGGTATTTGATTCGGTAAGTGGGAAGACTCACTCCCGGCGGGCCGTTGTTTGGCGGGCCCTTGTAACCATTTCCAGCATTGGCCACTGGGTTGTCGCGAGGGGGAGCAGAAAGACCCGGGTGACCACTGACTCGAGAGACATTCGGACCACGAGCAGTCGGTCCAGATAGACCGGGATGACCGCTACCCAATGGGCCTCTTGGTGCATTGATTGGGGCATTTGGCTGCCCGGTACGAGGACGTTGCGCTTGTGGCCCACCAGAGGTAGATTCTTCACGCTTTCTCTTCGCGGGATTATCGGAATGCTTCAATGGCGGAGTTGAAGTTGTGGCTTGAACAACGGGGACTTTGGGGTTGTGTCTTCCCAGTTGACGCTCTCGCCGACGCTCTACGTTTGCATCTTGACGCTGCTTGAGGTTAAACTCCTCTCTCTTAATGCGAGATTTCTCGAAATTTGTAAGAACTTTCGTGGACTCGCAGTCGTGGGACGAATGGCCACATTCACCGCATTCACCGCATCGTACAGCACGGCAGGAGATTCTGGTATGACCAGATTGACCGCAGCGGAAACAGGTTCCTCGGGCATTGTCCTTTGCCTCGTCATTGTCGCAGTTGTGAGTGAAATGGTCGGCGCTTCCACAGATGCCACACATTTTCGTCGTGTCTAAGCCCTTGCCTCCTCCAGAAGGTCCATCGGGTCGTGGAATTGAAGGTGTACCGCGCCCAGAGGCAGACACCGAGACGGAGCGCGAGTCAAGGCCAATAGACGCCGATGAAGGCCGGGAAATTGGTGGTACAGGGGGTTCATATTCGGGAGAGGAGTTTCGGGCTTCTTCGGCGCCAAGGTCGACCATTTCAATCTCTTTGTAGCCAGTGAACTGCGGCTTCTCCAGGATTTTCACAATATCACCCTCCGTGTAAACATTTCGCTCCCGTGCGTTCTTGATGAGCCCATTCCAGAACTGGCCCTGCTCCAGGGACTGCGAGTTACCCAGAACCCAAAGCGATGACTTGGCACGGGTGAGACCGACGTTCATACGGCGGATATCAGCCAAGAAACCAATACCCTTGTTGGATGCTCGCACACAGGAGAAGATAATGACTTCGCTTTCTCTACCTTGGAAAGCATCAGTCGTATTAAAATCAACCTTGTTGAGAATGTCTTCGCCATATCGTTGAGTAAATTGGTTCTTGAGCTCTCTCAGTTGGCCTTTGTAAGGTGTGATGATGCCAACCTTGCCCGCAAAGTCGTATTCTTTGACATCTGTAATCAAACGATCATACAGTTGCATAGCCACTTGTAACTCCGCGTAATTGATCAAGGAATGGCCCCTGGCCGCAGATGAGTGCATGCCCTGAACATCGAAGAATCGGTAAGGACTGAGAAGTTCGCTTTGATGCCAGGGACGTTGGCGAAGCTTAGCCATGTCCGGTCCATCCTGCAACTTGCCATCGTAGAACGTCACACTGGGGAAATGACTGATGGCTGGGTGCATACGGTACTGTATATCCAGCAAGTGCACGTCTCGAGGGTGATTCTTCTGCATGCGGACGAACAAACTCTGCTCGTACTGGAACTTGGAGGCCATTTTCGACAGAACAGTTGGAGGCAACTGTTTGGGATCACCGACAAGAACACACTTCGAGCAGCCGTACTTCAGTGGGATGAGAGCACTGAGTTCAATACACTGTGCTGCCTCATCAATGATAACAGTCTCAAACTCAACATTCATACCCTGGAAAAGTTCATGTCCAGAACCACTGAGAGTAGTGCAGATGACATGAGATTCGTTGATGATTTGTTCTTGGATCCGGCGTTTATGCATGTCAGCATTGCGGGCCAGCGTATGGTTCTGATCACGGGCTTTATCAATGGACGTGCTCAGTTGAGATCGCTTCTTTTTCATCAAGTCGAACTCGCGCTCCAGCTCTTCCGGAGGAGGCAGTCCCTTTGCTCGTGCTTCATCGAGTCGCCCACGAAGCTCTTTGAATTTCGTATCAGTTGTTTTGTGCTCTTCGTAGAGCTTCTGCAAGTCCACGCCATTTCCTTTGCTGGGATCCTGGTTCAGGCGGGTATTGACCATCTCATCGAGGGTAACATCCAACACCTTGGTGTTGATTGCGTCGCTTCTTCCCAGACGAAGAACAGAAATCTTCTCTTGTCGACCATGAGTCGTCCGTACACCTTCCTTCAATCGCATAACTAACTCGTCGACAGCGGCATTACTAGGCGCACACAGGAGAAGTTTCTTAGAGACGGCATTTCTCGCAGGGGCACCATTGACTTTCATCGCTTGTTTCCCAAGTACGTCGCTCAGGAGACTTCCGACAAGTGCGATGATGGTCTTGGTCTTTCCAGAACCAGGGGGGCCTTGGATAAGAGTAAAAGCATCATTGTCAACAGCTGATTTGATGGCTTTTGCCTGGGCACGATTGACGGAGTAATTATCCATGATGGGCTGCAGCCTTGTGTCCGAATAAGTAAGAAGAGGTGAAGGCTTAGCTAAGACAATCTCTTCACACAGATCATAGTACTGCAATGCCATCAGGGCGCCATATTCACGCTCCACCGGGGTCAGAGAAGTGATCTTGGCACCCCATGCCTCAGTTCCCGGCCCGAAAGAAGACAGGAACTTGCTGCTGCCAGGATTGACCCGATATGTGACCTCCATCTTTTTGTTCTTCCGATTGACACCACAGACACGCGCGAGAACATGGGGAGCAGTAGGGTCGGCTGTGAGCTTGGGCGAGTTTGAGAACAAGACCAAATCACCTTCACCCATACTGAAATCCTTGGGAAGAATACCGAGCGGCTGGGTGCTGAATTCGATCCACGAGTCGACAGCCAATCGGGTCATAACTTTAACTTCGAATGGTCGGAAGGAACCTTCGTCCTTTGCCTGTTGGAAGCCTTGCCACGCCTCGAGAATCAACAAAGGTTCGAATGTACTCTGATAGTCGTCGGGTGTGCGGAACGTGTTTGAGACCAGGGAATAATCAGTGCGGTCCGAGGTAGGAGGAAGATCACCGGTTGCGAAAAAGTCCCAGGAGAGAATTGAGTGGTGAAGAGAACCGAGATCTGGAGCCAGGCGAGCACGCATGTCCCTGACAGATCGGTGGCGCTTTATTTTCTTGACCGGTTGCTGCTGAAGGGATTGTTTCTTGCTTAACTCGTAGGCCGCGACGGCCTCAGGTTTCTTCGGTTTGGCACCAAAGAGTTCCTTGTCTAACTCATCTTCGCTCTCAGAATCAGACTCGTCACCAGAGGAGACCATCATGCTATCTGCGGGGGTTGTATGATCTTTACCCTTGATACCAATACCTTTCAGGCCGGAGCCTTGTTCAGCTGTCTGTTCCCCAACGCCATAAGCAGGCATGTTCTTCTTGAGTCTGGCAAGCTCAATTTGATCACGCTTCTTCTTGGCTTCCCTCTCCCGTTCACGCTTCTCGCGGAAGGATAGGACGCTGGCGACGCCACCGGATCGTACAGGGGCAACTGTCTTGGGGAACATGCCCGGAGAGAACATCTCCGGACGATTCTTGACAGTCGTAGAGGAACGCATTTTGGCCTTGTCAGCTTCCCGCTTGGCTTGGGTTGCGAGACGAGCCTTGTTGAATTCAACAGACGAAGACAATTCAAGAAGAGTTTGGTCGGTCAAA